CATAGAGTACTACCTCCTTCTCTGATTAATTAGCTGAGCATCTTTCAGGCAATGCGTGTGTGTGTGTGTGTGTGTGTGTGTGTGTGTGTGTGTGTGTGTACATATATATATATATACATATGCATATATATATATGTGTGTGTGTGTGTTTTATATTTTTTTGTCGAACTCGTGATCATAATGCAGAAGGAACCTGTCCCTCCTGGGATCTCCCACTTGCCCCAGAGGATTTAACACATGGTTATTCACAGTGATGAGACAGTATCTCCATTGGCTGACCTCTAAGCTAGGTCTACTCATATCCAAAAATGGGGTATCGTTTCACCAGACTGAGCAGGGAAGAGTTGCAAGTCACTTCATGAGTAACGATGCTTAAACCACAGAGCTGGCTGTAAACCACAGGACTGATGTGACACTTTCCCCTTCTCTACCATGGCCAAGCTGAGTTCTTGCCTCTACCAGGAGGGGCTGTTGTCTCTGAGCTTTCTTAGGAACAACATGTAGAGCACCAGCCTCACTACTGAAGGAACAGCCATAAGAAACAGGAGAAATCGGCCTTGGCCGTGCAGGAAGGCTCCCTCCCATGTCAGTGACTTACGGGTGAGCAGTGAGGGTATGCTTCTTTAATATCCTCCAAGGGAGCAAATACCTTGTGGTTACTGGGAAACTATTCCAGTAGCAGTGGGCTGTAACTGCCCAGCATGGGATAGCTTCTGGGCCAAACTCGGGCTGTGCATTCCAGTCAATCATCGCCAGATTCAGTCACTCATCGGGATTCCACCTGCACAAGGCACCCAGGCCGTGCCAAAGCTTCTCAGGCTGCTAGCTTTTCACATAAGTCCCGACTGTCTGACTCTGACTCACACCCCTACCAATAAAAAGACTTGCGGCACGTGCAAAAGGGTTGCCAAACTCTTGGGCAACTCAGGAAGCGTTGTAGCTAGCCCTACCTGACAGATTCTTGTCATCGGATCAGCCTCATTTGTCATCCTTTAAATATCCCATACCCCACACAAACACCGTGTGTGTGTGTGTGTGTGTGTGTGTGTGTGTGTGTGTGTGTGTGTGTGTGTGTGTGTGTTGTAATGTCAGGCATTTTCCTCTTCCCTCTCCACCTTATTTTCTGAAACAGGGTGTCTCACTGAACCTGGAGGTCACCTATTTGGCTAGACAAAACCAACCAGAAAGTTCCCAGGATTCACTTGCTTCTGGCTCCCTGATGCTAGAACTCCAGGCTCCTGACACCTCACCTGGTTTTTTAGATGGGTGCTGGGGATTTGAACTCAGGTCCACACGCTTGCAGAGCAAGCACTTGGTCAGCTGAACCACCCATCTCCTGGTCCTTCTCTTTTTTCTTTTGATCTCATTAAGAATTGACTCTGAAATCCAAGTACCTCCACATTAACTTTCTCTTCTATTTCTACTAAGTTTGGGGTAAGTAACAAATGTATGTTCCAATACACCCTCCAAAAATATTCTTTTTATCCATTTGAACTATAAATAAACAAGAGGTTCTATTTTTATTTTGTCCCCAAGGAAAGTCTTGGGGCAACAGGTGAGGATAACGTGAGCTGTTCTGTTGGAGAACGTCAACAGTGCTTCAGGGAGCATCCCTTCCACGCAGCATGGCTAGCTTATTCTTTCAAATGGCACATTATTGATTCTCATTTACCCTCACAGCTTGCCTAGTTGTATTCATTTACTATCAACATGTGCTCATGTTGTATCAAGTGCTGTCAGTGCCGGGGGTGAGGGGATGAGGCTTCCTGCTTTAGGGACGGCACCCCCTACTGCCAAAGCCATCCCTTTAACAAGGAAAGGAAGGACTTCCCTCAGTGCTGGGGTCTCCCTGAACAGGTAGCCTGCCTGTGCTCTCAACAGCATGTGGCTGAGGAAGAAGGTGCCCCGTTCTGATCCCCCCACTCTTTCTGCTTTTCTTCTCCTATGGGCCGTTTGCAGTGAAATTCCAGTCACAGAAAGCAGAGGCTGACACCTGGCAGGATCATAACACTGAGGTCCCTTTTGATGGAGGCACTAAGTCTGATATGCTGATACTCAGAGGACTAGGGCTTCTGAAGTCCCAATTCTATGACTGCATCATAGATGCCTTAACAGAAGGGCCTGGAAGAATGACCTTTATTCCATTCCCAAGGGAATTCTTAACTGGAAGCACCATTTACACATGGAGGCAATCTCAGCTGCCATCATGACTTCTGACATTTGGTAGGTAAGGCAGGGACACTCAACTTCCTGTGTGTATGGCGTGGCCACACTTAACCAAGGACTGCCCTGATGTGTCAATGGCTCCATTGACAAATGGCATCATGCAATTCACTACTCAGATTTCATGAGGTTAATGACTTGCTCACAGCCACAGGCCTTTCCTTTCTTACAACTGAAAAACCACCATTGGAAGATTACTCAAAATACAGGAGAAATTAACCAAGAGACCATCTCAACATTTAAATTTGATTCTCCCGATATCACCATCTAAGGCCAACAATCTACAGAGATTCCTCAAAAAGCATTATATTGTCCACAGAAGAGCAGAGAAAACACAATAGCCCCCAAGCAACTGTCCTCTGTGATGGGTCCTCATTTTTCCAGTCCCGTCTAAACTTTGTGACTGAAGGTCTATTCCCTTTAGCTCAAATAGAAACATCTCTACCTTATGCACACCTCATTGGAAGGCCAGTGATCCCAGAGCCTCATTTTCTGTGTTTTATGCATTGGTCTCAGAGTCATCTTAGTCTCACTATTTGGAATCAGGACTCATAACCATATCCCCCGTGTCAAGAAGCAAACATCCAGGAACCGGGCAGGAGGGAGTTGGCTTTCCTCTTTATTTATCTGTCTGACATCACTATGACACAACACTAATTCCCTCAGAGTTAATCTTAGAACTGGCTAAGCTTGAGAGCCACAATGTGTAAGACACAAAGGTGCCAGTCAAAGAAGGAAAAGAGACACTTTCTAGAAACACGGACCCTTTGCTTCTCAGCTAACCAGAGACTTGGTGCATACCCTCAGCACACCTACTGCTTCCTGGCTGTGGAAGCCTGCTCCGGACACTGAGGTGCCTGGGAGTTCTTATTAGGAGAGGGCAAATGGCCAGGTCTCTGGCTCTGTCCGTTACGGCTGTGTGGCGTCTAGGCACAGCTCGGTTACATTCCTAGCAAAAAAGAGCAGTAACTATATTCTCTGCGGTTTCCCTGTAGCTCCGAGACCCCGTGCTCCACAAGTGAGCAGCTGTCAGGTTCCGCACTCGGTTAGAAGTGTGTGATTTTCTCATCAGCTGAATCTCAGTAAGGATGAGAAACTTCCCTGGGGCTCCAGCCCTGCCCTGCCCTGCCCTGCCCTAGTCTCCATGCTGATGTTGGCAGCTGGGGCCCCCTTTCTGGTCTGGGCACAGAGCTCTCCCTGAAGGAGAATGGAGTGTGGGGCCTCATCCTTTCCTCTCTCTGCCCTCGGGGCATGGGGGTTGTGAGGTGGGTAACAGGAGAAAGGAAAAACCCATTCCTTGCTAAAGGTTAAAAGCAGAGAATTGAGGGCCACCAGCCTCAGGATGACTTTCTGATGGGTCTGGCCTGCTTCGGGTGACTGTGCAGGGATGGCAGTGGTTTCAGCTGGCTATAAAACCCTCTGACTCACTCCTATGGCCCTGTCAAATCATGTGCCCCATGCCCCAGAGACCCCGACTTGCTCTGTGTGGTACCCCTTAACATTTTCTCTTGGAGGCTTCTTTTCCCCCCACCTGTCTATATCCGGGGAAATGACGAGGGAAGGGACAGAAGAATATGGCATTAACTCCATCCTCCTTCCACTACTGAGTTCAAGTCTTCTGTATGTCAGTACCAGCCATGCTGGCCTCATCCCCCCTGGCCATGCTCTCTTCCGGCCGCTTGTCCCCTGTCAACCTCTGGGAATACTATTTATGATGAATTAGTATTCACATGGCCAGGCTGACGCATGCCTTACTCAACAGATGAAACCCATCGGGCTTAATGTGGAGTGTGACTCTGCGGAGGGAAAGTTTCATTTGGTAGGGAACTGTAACACCAGTGAAGAACGGTGGCAGGGGCCCACTGTACTACCTCTGCACTGCTTGGAGAGGGAGAAACAGACATTTTCAACCCATATAACACAGTTTCGGAAGTTCGGGACCCTAGGGAGAAGTTATTGGGGGGCCCTCCATGCCAGCTGAGCTTGCAAAGTTCCGGTGGCCATGCCTATGGGGAGAGCGGATTGGCACGGGCAGACAGAGCAATACCAGGGGGATGGATGCAGGGCAATACATCAAGTGCCTTTTCTCCAGGGTTTCCACTGGCCTCCCATGACCGATGGGGCAGAGGCACCCAGGAGAGCAGTATTTTGGTTTGCAGCTGGGAACGTGCACTGAGTTTTCCTTAATACCCACAGCAACCAAAAGACTTTGCTGTAATACACTTTAATGCACGAAACACCCATAAATTATCCTTCAAACTGCTACAATTTCCAGCCTGGAACAACTTGGAAAAACCAGCCTAGCAAGCAGGCGCTTCTTGAATCTCTGAAGTAAACCTGACAAGAAAGGTCAAACCCAAAACACCTTCCTTAAGAATCTCCGAAAGTTTTATGAAAGCAAGAACATTGTAATCAAACGGAGCTAACTAAACCTCATGTTTACGTTGGCTTCAAGTTGCAACACCCTGACCCCAGAGTCCTCTCTCTCCCTCCCCTGAAGCTTCTCTGTCTGAACCCAAGAGCGCCCGCTGCCCTTCCCAATGCCGGGTGCCAGCCTCTGCCACACCTGGCAGCAGACAGCTGAATGTACTGGGTGACCCAAACAGTGGGGCTACGCCTCTGAGATACATAGCAGGCCCCACAGAGGGCCCTGACGCTCCGGACCTCAGCACTTGAAACTCAAGCTCCCTGAATCAACCCCAGGCACCCACAATCTATGTTCTGAGCCCTGCGATAAGCACCAAGCCTAGCGCGCCCTGGGCGGCTGGTCCTCTTACCTAGGGGCAGCGTGGCACTCTCGGGACTCTGCGCACTCCCCAGCCGGCGCGCTCTGCACTCGCCCTCTACCGCGCGGGCTACTGCTCCGCCACCCCAGCGCGCTCGCAACGCGCGCATCCCTCTCTCCAGGCTCTCTTGAGCGCTGTCCCCTTCTAACCCGAGAGCTCAGGCAAGGCAGTGCTGTTTCTGCAGGCGCCAGTGTTGACTTTGAGACTTCTAGACATCCTGGGACAGGGAATTTCACGACCAGAGAGACCCTCGCTCCTTTCGCCTCCCTTTCTTGCCCACGAGCTCGCGTCCCTGCAGCTATTCCGGACACTTCTTTCAGGGCTGCGTTTCAACCCACAAAATCTCGCCAGACAGGGATCCGCGCATACCATCCCAAGAAGACCAGTAACCCCGGCCCGCCGCACCGCGCTGCACCCCTGCCGGGGTTCGGCTCAATGCAGCCTGACTCACCGATGCGCTCCCCTCCGGCTCCCGGCGCTCTCTGCCGTGCTAGAGCACAGAGCTGCTGTAACAGGCTTGTGAATGTATTTAGCCCCTCCTCCCTCGCTCGAGTCACACCCTCTCCAAATCCTGCCCCCTACCTACCCCACCCCTCCCTCCCTGCCCCACCCCCACTCCCAGCCCCGCACCTGCTGTGACTGGACCCAAGGTGCCAGACTGCAGGGGTCCTGGAGACAAGGGATGGATAGCTCCAGGAGGGCTGGTGAGACCTAGTCAGGAGAAGACAGGGAAGGATTCAAACCTTCTGAGGTCAAATGAAAATGCATGGGTTCGCAGTGGCAGAGGGAGATTTTCTAGGGCACTAGGGAGGGTAGCTGGCCCTGGCCACCAATGGGCCGTCAGACTGAGCAGGGCCCGAGTCCCTTCACCTTCTGCCCTGACTCACTGCCTTACTAGCCTTCTGGGTTGGCTTAGGTCTCCTTTGGTGGCTGGACATCAGGTGTTCCTCTCCCTGCAAATCTGAGAGCTGAAGGAACACCTTTCCAGGAAGCTCCCGGGACTGGAAAGTGCTAGGGGGTTCTCTGAAACTAGGCCAAAGCAGAGTTAACTAGACTGTCCAGATAGGGGTCTAGCTGCCTGCGGTCACAGGGAAGAGGGCCTTAGGTGTCCAGATATCTCACTTCCACAGTCAATCTTAAGGCCTGGGATCCCAGGAGCCTCCCAGGAGCTCAAATCCCTCCAATATTGTAGATAGAATTGTATCTGTGTGTGCTGTCTCCATTTTTCTAGATGAGGGGTCAACGGCTTTCATCAGATTTTAAGAGTTGGTGAGCACATACTCAGTAGAAGGCCAAGCCTTCTGCTCCACCCCCAGATCCCACCCCAATTCCCTTTGATCCCTTTTCTCTACTTACTTAAGGGGGTCTCCCAGCTGGTCCTCCAAAATTTCTTGGATCTGATAGATTCAGGAGCTGGTAGGGGCCTGACTCAGACCTCCCCTTTTCCTGGTAGATTTCCACCTCATCTCATCCTCAAACCAATAAGGCAGAAATACACCTAAAGTCAGATTTCTCACCGAATGTGCATGAACAATTGTAATAAAGGTCTTTGGAAACACACACACACACATACACACACACACACACACACACACACACACACACACACACCCCTTTTGCTGGTTGAACTTGTGAAATGACTTTTCTTCCTTTGAAAAAGCATGTTGTGTGCCCCACCCCCACCTCCACCCCGGTGAATGCCACAGGAAGGAATAGATGCAGGACAGTGAAGGAGGGAGGGTGGAGTACCAAGTCTCCCCATTGCTGGGGACACCTTGCCAATACTGCCCAGGCCAGAATCATGCTCCACGCAGCTGGGATGTAGTTAGGCACAGGCTTCCAGTAACAATGAGAAGTGGTCCTTCACCCCCATGGGGGATACCTGGATAAGGAGAGGATCTGCCAAGGAACTTCCAGCCATCTGGATCTCGACTCCTTTTTGTCTTCACCTCGGTCCCCACATCTACCTTCATTCCATTTCTAGACACCTAGTGGGATGAAGGAAGAAGAAAGGACTGGCTTTGGAAGTGAACTTTTTCACTTCACTAAGCATGTTCTGTGTGGTCCAGACACAGTCTGGTAGATCAACACATTTTAGGAGTGACGGTGAGAGGTCAGGGGACACCAGAAGTGGCCTCATGGTTGTGGTGGTCTATTAGAAAACTTACCATTGCTAATTAAACAACTAACCATTTCCAGACCATACAATACATTTATCCATTAACCATTTCACATATAACTCCACTGTTTAAGCACCAACCCCATGTAATAACTGCTTGTGAATTTAGGGGTGAAATTAAAAATTACAGAATAGCTCAATTTGGTTATTAAATGTGGGGCTTTTGTATGTCACCTTGAAGGACAAAAGAATTTGAGGTACTTGTGGTTCTTTTTCAAGAGGGAAATTTAAAAAAAAGTAAAATCTAAGCCCAGCTGTCCTGCCCCCAAATTGTTGATCTTATTCTTCAGACATTCTCTGGTTTAATGAGAGGTGGTTTTTTTTTTGTTTTTTTTGTTTGTTTTGTTTTGTTTCATCAGCTCTAACTAGATCTGCTTATGTCCCTGAATTTGAAGGACCTTGAGTAAATAAGAATATGTAAAATCAAACAATGGTTTGCTCCGTGCTATGTACCAGGAGGTGACCGTGACACTGCTCCCATGATGGCTGGATTATTAGACCCTGATCACACTATTAGTCTCCCCAGGACCTAGCATAGGGACCTGATGTGCGTGTTGGATCCAAAAACGGTGAGAGCCATGTGTGGGTGTCAAGTAGTTCATCCATGCTGGGCTGGTTTCCAGCAGCTTTCATAATAGGTCAGCCTCCGTTCTAATGACCACGGTCAGGAGCCTTCGCCTTTTGCTTTTTCTCGCTTTCAAGAAGGACTCCAACAGAAGTGTCCTCGTGGGTCACTGAGAGAAGGACCTTAAGGTCTGGACCAGTTACATTTATAGGCATGAAAACCAGCTGAGAGGGCAGTGGCCAGAAGGCATGGTGCCGACAGGCAGAGAATAAGGATGTTTTGATGTACTAGATTTTCTCGAAAGAGCTTTTTATCCAGGGTATCAAAATAACCAGCAGCTGATGCATTTGCTGACTTTGAGGACAGCTTGTGGTGTGTACAGTAATTGTTGTTATTTCTGAGGATGCAGAAGTCTGCATCCATTGAGAGCCTCATCAACAGCAACACAGCCTGGCATGGACCTCCTCCTGTTCTGCCTCTGCCTCACTGCCACATTCATTCTTCCAGTGTCCTGGCCTGATTTCTAGATCCCAGTCAGATCCTCATCACTGACCTCTCAGACACACTCCCTTGGTCACCAGTGTCCATTATATGTACAGTGCTCACTAGTTTTCGGTCTTAGCCACCTGCATGGACACTGGCAAGGACTAATTTCTCAGCTCTGACCCTCAAACCCCCATCCACAGTCCTTATTGCTCCTTTCTTTCTTCTTCTTTTTTGTTGTTTTGGTTTTTTTTTTAAGCTAGGGTCTCATGTCAGCCAGGCTGGTCCCACATTCACTGCGTAGCTGAGGATGACCTTAGATTTTTGATTCTCCTGCCTCTGTCTCCCCCGTGCTGGGCTTATAGGTATGTCCCCTCCAACCCAGTTTATGCAATGCTGGAGATCAAACCCAGGACCTCATGCATGCTAGGCAAGTGCTCTACATCCCTTGTCCCTCATTCCCACAGGTCTCATCATGGGATGCTCCTGGGCTGGGGACAGGGCAGTTCCGCTCTTGTCCTGTAGGGGCACTGTGGCTCAGAAAACCATCACCTTGAGATTAGGCAAGCTTTGGCCAATTGATGGAATCTGGGAGAAAGATCTAACCTGTTAGGGCCGTAACAGTTATAATCCAAGTGGTTCTTTCTCAACCTTTCTAATGCTGCAATGCTTTAATATAGTTCCTCATGTTGTGGTGACCCTCAACCATAAAATTACTTCTTTGCTACTTCATAACTGTAACTTTGCTACTGTTATACATTATAATGTAAATATCTGATATGTGATCCCTGTGGGGGTTGTGACACACTGGTTGAGAATCAATGCTTGTAGTGATTAATAATCACTATAAAACTATAACAATATTGATTCAATGTACTAAATAAGTAATTTTTGAGCTCCTGCTCTGCCCAGTCCCATTCTAGGCACTGAAGGTTTGGCCAGAGAATAAAGCCGCCTCTAGACACATGTAATTTAAGTTCCAAAAATTCCCATCATCTATTTAATATTTGATAAAGGTAAATTACGGAATGTACATTGTAAGTCAGGAGAGCGTAAGAGAAGACAGGCAGTCGTGTTAGAGGGAGTACCATTAATTGTGAAATGAACTGGAAAAGGAAACTCCCAAGGCTGGAGCTAGAGCAAAGCAAAGCAGGTAGCCAAGAGAGGGTGGAGGGACAGATGACACAGAGTCCCCACAGTCTCCCCAGGTACAGGAGAGCCAAGTGTGTCCCTGGGGAATCAAATCCGTCCCTGACCACTGTGAGCCTCCACCTTCTCAGTTTTTTTTTTCTTTTCTTTTTTTTCCGAGACAGGGTTTCTCTGTTCAGCTCTGTGCCTTTCCTGGAACTCGCTTTGTAGACCAGGCTGGCCTCGAACTCACAGAGATCCGCCTGGCTCTGCCTCCCAAGTGCTGGAATTAAAGGCATGCGCCACCACCGCCCGGCGACCTTCTCAGTCTTGATTGACTCTGCCCCCTCCAAGGTCCCTAGTGACTCATGGCTACCACATGGACCACCTAGATCAGGTGCTGATGCCCCTGGTACTGTCTTCAGAGGTCTCAGCCTCTGTAGCAGGTCCTCATGTCTCTTAGGAGTCTGTGGTCCAAACGAATATACCTCTATCCAGGTCCTGGGTGGGGAAATTCTTGTGGGGCCACCAAAGAGGTGCATTAGGACAGGACCTAATGCTACAACCTTAGAAATACAGCTCAATATATTTCATAAAATCTTGTTCTGGAGCAGGACTTACAGGAAAAGAAACAGAGGTCAAGAAGGAATGTTCTTGCCATGTAAGTATCAACTAAGCAGTGCAAAAACAGACCCATAAATGAATGGGAAACCTGTAGGGAAAGATGTGGACACTCAGAGGAGACAGAATTTGACCACCTTCTAGCTCC